TGCCATATATATTTTTTCGGTTGGCGACTCCGCATTCAAACACATGCTTCGATTAGAAACGTATTACATAAAAATCATTGTCCAGATCGTGATCACAAAATTAAATCATGTCATGTTATAATGAGCCTCAAGGGAGCAATGTCATGTATGAATCGGCATATAGAAGTTGGTACGTCTATTTTGGATATGCGTATCTATCGTTATTTCGACATGTGTAATCTATATGTGATCTATTTACAAACATCGTGCATATGATTTAATTTTCCAGCATGGCGATGAGACTTGACACCCAATCATATCATTATCCGGAAAAAATATACCACATGAAAAAATATTCTTTATTGTTAGAGCGAGCACGATTATTCTCAAAATAAAGGCTCCTGAAGACGACCAATATAAATTGTTAAACGATGCTTTATTCCATAAACAGAAAGGAAATTTCGTCAAGTTAAAGACTTCTTTAAGATATCAAAAAGTAATCTCGGCCTTTATACAGGTAACGACTTTATGACTCGGGCGTTTGGGACAGAGAATAGGCATAGTGATATTATATTACTACGACTATTACGACTACTCTGAATAATCGACATCCGCACCGTATCCTCATTACGTAATTACGCTACTGTTAAGATCACCAGCCAATCATGTTCTGAGATGGCATAAATAGGATTTATAGGAGATTGCGCGCTGATAATTCTTTTCTTTGATTTACACCATAATTTTAACATGTCCTTTCCATCAGTCCCTTCGGTCGAAGAAGTGAGCAAATGGAAGCGAGCTCAAGTTCTTACGTATTTGCAGTCCAAAAAAGACGAACTTGACCTCGACGATGAGGACCTTGACGTAATCAGAACGAATAAAGTCGCTGGTTCGGACTTCCTTCGGTTGAATGCAGATAAACTTATGCGAGTTGGTTTAACCATGGGACCAGCAGAAAGAATCGCAGACTTAGTGAATACAATCAAAGGCGAACAGGAAGGTAAATACCGCGACTGAGTTCACTTACAACCAACCTACACTGCTTTCTCCGCAGTAATTTCATTTACTAGTGGCTCGCTATGATGCTATGTTATCTCTTATTCTCGCTTTAATATTTCCT